GCTTCAGTGACTCCATCCAGCCACCTCATTCTCTGTCGTCCCCTTCTTCTATTGCCCTCAATCTTTCCCAGCATTAGGCTCTTCTCCAGTGAGTCCTTCCTTCTCATTAGGTGGCCAAAGTACTTGAGTTTCAACTTCAGGATCTGGCCTTCTAAAGAGCAGTCAGGGTTGATCTCCTCTAGGACTGACTGGTTTGATCCAGGGGACTTGTAGGAGTCTTCTCCAGCACCATAGTTCAAAGGCCTCAATTCTTTTGCGCTCAGCCTTTCTTATGGTCCAACTTTCACAGCCATACATTGCAACTGGGAAAACCATGGCCTTGACTATACGCACTTTTGTTGGCAGGGTGATGTCTCTGCTTTTTAGCATGCTGTCTAGATTTGCCATAGCTTTCCTCCCCAGGAGCAAGCGTCTTTTAATTTCTTGGCTGCAGTCCCCTTCTGTAGTGATCTTGGAACCCAGGAAGATAAAATCTGTCACTACCTCCATTTCTTCCCCATCTATTTGCCAGGAATTGAGAGGGCTGGATGCCATGATCTTGGTTTTCTTAATGTTGAGTTTCAAGCCAACTTTTGCACTCTCCTTCTTTACCTGCATCAAGAGGCTCTTTAGTTCCTCTTCACTTTCTGCCATTAGAGTGGTATCATCTGCATATTTTAGGTTGTTCATATTTCTCCCGGCAATCTTAATTCCAACTTTTGATTCATCTAGCCTTGCCTTTCTCATGATGTGCTCTGCATATAAGTTAAACGTTCCCTTCATATTTCCAATTTTCTTGAAGAGATCTCTGGTTCTCCCTATTCCAGTGGTGGCGAACCTATGGCACGCGTGCCAGAGGTGGTACTCAGAGCCCTCTCTGTGGGCACGCGTGCTGTTGCCCAGTCCTAGGCCTTCAGCTGGATTTTATAAAACCTTTTCGCTTTAGGCCTCCGCTGCCGTGTGCAAAAAAAAAAGGTTAAATCAATCAGTCAATTTCAACTTCTTGTGGGGGAAAAAAAAGATCTTGCAAAGTTGGAATTGATTGATTGAACTTTTTAGTCCAACCCAGTCTGCTGTTACCACCGCAGCCACTCCCACCCAATGGGCCACACCCACCTGGCACCCGATGATGCATAAGTGGGTTTTGTGTTGCAGTTTGGGCACTTGGTCTCTAAAAGGTTCGCCATCACTGCCCTATTCTATTGTTTTCTTTTATTTCCTTGCACTGTTCATTTAAGAGGGCATTCTTATCTCTTCTAGCTATTCTCTGGAATTCTGCATTCAGTTAGGTGTATCTTTCTCTTTCTCCCTTGCCTTTCGCTTCCCTTCTTTCCTCAGCTATTTGCAAAGCTTCCTCAGACAGTCATTTTACTTTCTTGCATTTCTTTTTCTTTGGGATGGTTTTAGTTGCTACCTCTTGTACAATGTTGCAAACCTCCGTCCATAGTTCTTCAGGCACTCTGTCTATCAGATCTAATTCCTTAAGTCTATCTAATTCCTTGTCACCTCTACTATATATTCATCAGGGTTATGATTTAGTTCATACCTGAGTGGCCTAGTGTTTTTCCCTACTTTCTTCAATTTGAGCCTAAAGTTTGCAACAAGAAGCTCATGATCTGAGCCACAGTCAGCTCCTGGTCTTGTTTTTACTTGGTGATCTTACTGACTGTATAGAGCTTCTCCATCTTTGGCTCAGAGCACATAGTCAATCTGATTTCTGTGTTGACTGTCTGGTGATGTCCATGTGTAGAGCCGTCTCTGGGTTGTTGGAAAAGAATGTTTGCTATGACCATTGTATTCTCTTGCCAAAATTCTGTCAGCCTGTGCCCTGCTTCATTTTATACTCCCAAGGCCAAACTTGCCTGTTATTTTAGTTATCTTTTGGCTTTCCAGTCCCCCATGATGATAAGGACATCATTTTTTGGTGTTAATTCTATAAGGTGCTATAGGGCTTCATAGAACCGGTCAATTTCATCCTCTTCAGCACCAGTGGTTGGGGCATAGATTTGGACTACTGTAATATTGAATGGTTTGCCTTGGATTCGAACTGAGATCATTCTGTCATTTTGGGGATTGTATCCCAGTATTGCTTTTCCTACTCTTTTATTGACTATGAAGGCTACTCCATTTCTTCTGAGGGATTCTTGCCCGCAGTAGTATACCTGATGGTCCTCTGAATTAAATTCACCCATTCCTGTCCATTTTAGTTCGCTAATTCCTAAGATGTCGATGTTCAGTCTTGTCATCTCTTGTTTGACCACGTCCAGTTTGCCTTGATTCATGGATCTTACATTCCAGGTTCCTATGGAGAAAAGATCTTTACAGCATTGGACTTTCCTTTCACCACCAGATGCATCCACAGCTGAGCGTCCTTTTGGCTTTGGCCCAGTCGCTTCACTCTTTCTGTTGCTACTAGTACTAGCCCTCTGCTCTTCCCCAGTAGCATATTGGACACCTTCCGATCTGAGGGGCTCATCTTCCAGCGTCATATTTTTTTGCCTTTTGGTACTGTCCTTGGGGTTTTCATGGCAAAGATACTGGAGTGGGTTGCCATTTCCTTCTCCAGTGGATCACATTTTGTCAGAACTCTCTGCTACAACCTGTCCATCTTGGGTGGCCCTGTACGGCATAGCTGATAGCTTCATTGAGTTATGCAAGCCTCTTTGCCACGACAAGGCAGTAATCCATGAAGGAGCTATACATTATGGCCACTCCCAAAATGGCACCTGCTTCCAGGATGGCACCACACAGCCTCTGTATAGGAAAGCCACACAGCAGAGTGGCTGCTTCCCAAAGGAGCTCTACGAAAATAATAAGTGGACCTTGCCATGATGGAGGAGGGGTGTGGGCAGTGGGAAGCAGGCTGAAGGTTTAAGGATTGTAATTTAAGGATTATCTGTATTTGAGGAGAAAATAAGTGCATTTTTATTATAGAGACTAGTGTAGAAAGTGTTTTCTTCAAATGGGAAAACTATCAACATTTCAGAAGTTTTGCCAAAATTATTGCATTAGCTATTTCACAGCCAAACCAAATCTGAATTGCTTTGGTTATTCCAGTTTTTCAATTAAAAACATATAGCAAATAGAGTAACACTCCTCCCCTCAGTAGTCCCAGTGTTTCATATACCATTGGCTCTCCTGACCATTAGCCAATGGCTGTTGTCTCTTTCACCAGCTGCTACTGTTGCCAATGTCCTACCATAGTATCCGTGTTTCCCCGAAAATAAGACTGGGTCTTTTTATTATTATTTTTGCCTCCAAAAGAGGCACCAAGTCTTATTTTTTGGGGATGTCTTTTATACTCACCTTTGTCACCAACAGCCCTGCCCAGCCGGTCCACTTCTTCTGGCCGAAGGAACAGCTGCATTCTGCAGCTACATTCCAGCCTGTATTTTGCAGTCAGGCCTTTCCGGAAGGCCTATGCAGCCAAATACTGAGCTATGAATTGAATCCATAGCTCGGTTCTGCAATGGCCTTCTGGAAAGACCTGTGTCTGAGAAATGCAGGCCTGGCTGCAGAAGACAGCGCAGAAGAAGTGGGCCAGTGAGAGAGGCCTGGCTGCAAGGTAAGTGGGTGCGGGGCAGATCAGACAGCTCCACACACCCCACCCTAGCTTGATTTTTAGGTGTGTGCCTTGCCCCAAAACTAGGGCCTTTTTTGGGGGTAGGGCTTATATTAGGCCCAACCCCAAAATCAAGCTAGGGCTTATTTTCGGGGTAGGCCTTACTTTCGGGGAAAACACGGTATATCCTACTTGTTCATCCTTTGCCTCGTTATAAAATAGTCCCATTTCACTCCAGCGTGGACCAAAATATCCAGAATGTGGATTTTAATGCAGGGACAATTAATCCAAACCCAGATATTCCATTCCTGGAACAGTAGGTAAATGAAATGCTTTGGAACTTTGTAAAAGAATGCATGAAATTCATTATATGGAGTTATGCATTTCATAGCTATGTTGTATTCTAAAAATCTTTATTTACATGTATATCTTAGCACTACAGTTTTATAATACTGGTAAAATATATCTCTCTATAGAAAGCAACAAAGAAAACGGATAAGTCAAGGCTTGACCAGGATGATATAGATATAGCAGAACTCAATAATGAAGAACTCAAAGATCAACTCCTGAGATATGGTGTGAATCCAGGTCCTATTGTTGGTAAGCTAATATAATAAATACTAATATATTTGTATGTTTGTATGAATGAATGAATATGAATATAAAAACTGAAGACAAAGAGAAACGTAGATGGAAAAGTGATGACAATCTGTGTTTTTTAAATATTTGAAATTTCAATAGGCAAAGTAATTATGTTCTATTGTGGATTACATTCACTTCCTCAGTAATAATTGCCCAAATCCATGTTGTTATTAACTACTGTATTGTGCTGATCATCTTAGATGCTAATAAAGATCAGATGTTTACAATTGGAAATAATTTATCCTTTCAGGTTATTTCATATATTGCTAAGAACTATTTTCAAATATAGAAGCATAAACTGCTTTGCAGAATCACTCATCAGGACTTAAATAAGAAACTGCTTGTTGACCAACATAGTATACAATTGTATTAAGATACATCACCAATAGTATGAAAGTGTACTATTTAACCACAGTTGGCAAGTAAACATTTGCTAAATGAATTAAAACATTATTTTTAGTAATTTATTTTATATATATACTCCCATATTTTTTACTAGAATTCTACACAACATAGATAAGTTTGTTGAAGTAGGCTTTGCCTAACCATAGCTTCTCCAAAATTTTCCTTTCTTATATTCTGCTTTCTACATTATCCATTAACAGAATTAACATACATAATATAACATTTAAATTTTAAATACAAGTTAACATAAATTATCCTTTAAAAAGGTAGCAAAAGAGATGTATCTTGGCTGCACTTCTCAGATCAAAACTAACTTAACACAACTCCAAGGGAGTTGCAGCAAGGGAAGCAATGCAAAAAGAATCACTCCCTTGTGTGCCAGATAAACAATTTCCTGCCTAGGAACATCTTCAGAATGGTCTCTCCTACAGCTCTTAATACCAATGATCTCTCCCATAGATGTTAATTACTACAGATTGTCAGTCCTAAGCTTTATATGATTTTAAGATTAATAATGATACTTTAAATTAAACCTGGTAAATGATTTCAGTGTAGGGTGTATGTATGTTCTCTGTAACCTGTACAGGCTTGCAGACTATTGCTGTATTTTGTACCAATTGCAACTTACTAATATTTCAGTTCTGGGATCATTTCATATAATGTATATCGCAGGGGTCAAATTAGGATATCAAAGCAGGATTGACTATTGGCAATTATAGCTGATTCAGGAACAGCTGTAATTGAACTATTACACATAACTGTGTCACTTTCGTCACCTGAGAACCCAGAAACAAAGTTTAAGGAGCATCTTCTAATAGAGCACTTCCCCTTTTAGTGGTTTTGTAGTTTTGTTCAGAAAAGCTGAACTCCAATCATACAGCTATTTTCTACTGATGAATGCTACTTGTATTTTACCTAGTTTGTTTGCCCATATCTAGCCCATTCATGAACTTAAGCAGTGGTTATAGGGTTGCTTTTTTGAAACTAAGTAATAATGAGCATCAGCATATGGTGGATACCTGAAATTAACGTTGAAGATCATTCTAAGAGAAAGTGAGGCCATTAGAAGAATAATCAGACAGTATATTTGCTTTGTTCTAGAACCCAAAATATGCACTCTCAGTTGGCAGATTGTTAGATCTAGTGTTGGAATTCATTTAGATCCCAACCATTCCTCTTCATCTTGGAACTGCTAGAAGGACAGAGGTAGAAGAGATTATTTCTTCCCTCATCAAAAACCAATGGCAAATTGAATGTGCTCTTGAAAAAAGCTATGGAAGGTTGGATTAGGTCAATAGTTAAATGTGAGACCATCACAAATACCTACAGATTTGAGCTATGTTAAAAGTTTAAAAAACATTACAATATATATTTTATTCAAACAGTCATAAATCATGGTCCAGAACTGACATGATTTGGATGACATCTGAATTGAGGACAAGTATGCAGGAGATTGAGATAGAACCAGATACATGGGCAGATCACAACCCCTTAAAAATGACATGGAGAGGAATACCAAAAAAATTAAGATAGACTTTGAATCAATCTATATTAAAAAAAGAGAATTTATAGAACTAGCAACAAAAGGAATGGAATTTTTCTTTAAAGAAAACAAAAAAGAAGATACAACATTAAAAAATGTATGGGATACAGCCAAAGCATATTTTAGAGGTATAGCTATAACATACATGGCAAAAAAATAAAATAAACAGAAAAGACAACAATACATATTATTAAGGGAAGATTTTGAAAAATTAGAATTAGAACTGCAAATGAATCCGCAAAAGAAGATTCTGAAAAGAGAAATAGAAACAATAAAACATAAATTAAAATTTGTTGGATTCAGAAAAATTGGCACAGCAAATAAAAAGAGCAAAACAAAACTTTTTTGAAAATGCAAACAAACCAGGAAGATAGCTAGCTTATAAACTTAAAAAACAGAAGGAGAAGAAACTGATAAATAATTTAGTAGATGAAAAAGGTTGCCTACAATTTAAAAATGAAGAAATAAAAAAGATAATTAAAGAATACTATAAAAAACTGTATGATATTGAAGAAATTCCAAGAGAGAGAATGATTCAATATCTGGAAGAAAATAATCTTCCAAAAATTTCAGAAACTTTTAAGACTATGTTAGAGGAAAAAATAACAATGATGGAAATAACAGAGGCCATAAGAAGACAAAAAAACGAGAAAACATCGAGGCCAGATGGACTACCGACGGAGCTATATAAATATTTAAAAGCTATATTAAGTGAACCGTTGAAAGACGAACTTCTGTTGGAGGCTAAACTCCCAAATACATGGACAGAAGCAAATATTACCTTAATACCAAAAGAAGATTCAGACTTGACACAGATAAAAAATTACAGACCGATATCGTTATTACATGTGGATTACTTCAATAATAGCAGAGAGACTGAAAAGATTTTTAACTGAATTTATACATTCAGACCAAAATGTTTTTTTACCAAAGAGACAAATTAAAAATAATTTAAGGTGATAATGGATGTAGTGGAATATTATGAATTACATCCAGGGAAACAACTGGCACTAATATTTTTAGATGCTCAAAAGGCATTTGATAATGTTTCCTGGCAATTTATGATTCAGCAATTAAAAATAATGTACTTTGGACAAAACTTTATAAATATGATTAAAACAATATACAATAAACAAACAGCGAAAGTGATTGTGAGTGGAGATTATACAGAGAACTTTGAGATAAGAAAGGTACAAGGCAAGGATGTCCGTTATCTCCATTGTTATTTATTCTGACCTTGGAAGTTCTAAATAGAAATATTAGACAAGATACAGAAATAGGACTAGAAATAGGGGGGACTTCCGGTGAGCAGGCGACCTCGTCGGACGCAGCTGTAGCTGCCTCCCGCCTGTTTCGCGTAAAAGCCGTTTTGACAGCGAGCATTAGCTGTCAAACGGCTTGATACCCTTCCCCCGGGCATAAGGGGATCGGTGAGCTGCCCGGGGTAGGAGTTGAGTTCCCGAGTCGTCCGATGTGGACGATGTAGGTTAGA